AGCGTCAGTGTGTTTTTCATACGGTCAGATCAGTGAAGATCACAGCATCAGACGCTGCATTTACACCTGCCTGAAAACACATGCAATCTGTCCCTTTATCATCACACACTGTAAAAAGCTTCATATGATCAGTGTCCGTCAGATGTTTGGATTTCTGTCTGTCGCTGTCCTAAAAACCTTTTGATCGAAATGCTGAAGGATTTGTTTCTCAGGGTTTCTGGGGTTTGTGAGTTGCTGCAAGGCTAATAATTAAATCATAAAAATAAAACACTTACCACCTGCATGTCATGTGACCATTAATCGACATCAGAGAGCCGTGAATGTGTTAAATGACTGAAATACTGAATCTCAGGAAGGTTCAGTGACAAGAGGTTTGGTAATCCCTGATGCAGACAAATATGATTTATATCTATAAAGTTATGAGTTTACATTTTTGTTGTAACAGATCATCAAGTGCTCATCATGATCTTCAAACCTTCTGATCTAAAGGCTTCGGCTGAACATGAGACACGTTTACATCAAGCGTCATGAAGTCTCACGTGTTTAAAGCATCCCATAATGCACCTGATGAAATGATGACTGTCCACAGCTGGAGGCATTTACACAAATATGATCATTCCTTCATAAATGATAAAGGCAGCCTTATACTTTCATGCATACTGATACATTTATACTGCAGATGAAAAATGGTGATGATATAAAAACATGTTTTCTAAATTAAAAACCTTTTCTTTTCTTTGTGATTATATATATATATATATATATCCTGGAGAATATTTACTTTGTATTAGTGTAACATGTATATATTTATTTATACAAAATCTTTTTTGACTCGATATTAGAAATAACATTAAGTTTCAGAGTTGTCCAGACGTCCAGTTGTGTTATTTCAGAATCCGGTTATTAAAACGGTCATTATTCTAACGTGTGTATGATTGTAATAATAAGAATGAGCAGATGTATAGACAGTAGGTTCATGATATATTATGTATTGAAATCATCTTCTCTGTAAAATCAGTGTACGGTTTAGTTTCCAGCTGAATAAATCTGGTTGTGTTGGTCTCAGTCTCGTGTCTGTTAATGACTGAACTGTGAAGCTCTTCTGTCAGGAGCACAGTCTGATGTTCATTCATGTTTATTTTGTGCTATAATAACTAGTGAAGAAGAGATGATCAGTTCACCTGAGCTTCAGCGATCCGTCACGACGCATTAAAGAGCCACCAAACGAATCTGGATTCATGTCTTGATTATGCACAATCCTCTGCTGTTTCACTCACTCACTCTCACTCACTCACACACACAAACACACCCACACACTCACTCACTCACACACATACACTCACACATACACACACACTCACTCTCACATGCACACTGACACACACACTCTCTCTCTCACATGCACACTGACACACACACTCTCTCTCTCACATGCACACTGACACACACACTCTCTCTCTCACATGCACACTGACACACACACACACACACTCTGTTTGCATCATTCAATCACTATTTCCTTGTTTATCCCTTTGAAATAATCTGTACTGTATAAAGCACTATAGACATACAGGTGACTTGACTTGATTAGGCTGAATGGACTGATTGTTCTCAGGTGAAGCTTGATTTTCACTAATGAAGGGGACTGTGTTCATTTGACCTGCAGGTTCATTAATGCTCAGGACCTGGACGTCAGAACGTCACACGCAGCAGAACCAGAGACCGCGGAGACTCACCTGTGCGGCCGCAGGTGGAGGTGGAGGTGGAGGTGTAGAGGGCGGGGCTCCGGATGCTGATGCCACGCCTCGGGCTGAGGGGCGGGGCCTCGTCTGACGCGCCTGTCCATCTCACAGCTGTCGGACAGCAGGAACACGGACACCACTGCCACCAGATCTGCAGAAAAACACACGGTACTTTAGTCATTAAAGCAGCAGCAGCAGCAGCAGCAGCAGCCAGTCAATTCATCTGCTTCTCATGCATTTAGTGGATTATTTTAAACCTGCACTGGCATTTCCATCTGTCAGCATTTCAAAAAACAAACTCATAAATCATACTTGAAACCTACTGTACTACGTGAATTCATTTACTCTCGTGTTGCTATACCAATACAAATAGATTAATTCATACAATTTAATGATTTAATTATTTTTAGCATTTTTTAAATGAAAAACTCTCTTCTCCACCCCATTCTGATGCACACGTATATTCATGCATTTATACAGACCGAATTTGAGCAAGATTTGCATTATGTCAAAGTAACTGGCACCACAATTATAGAAAGTCCCTTTTCATAATATTTGCCTTGCATTTAATTTTGTTATGCATCTTCACCGTGATGCAAATAGACTGATATTGCTCACAAGCAGCGTCGTCGAGATCATGGTGAGAATGCCTCTTAAACTCTGATGCTGAACTGAATTTGAAGAAAAAGTAGACGTTGAATTAATTACATTTCAGATAAATCCATATCAGAAATTGCCCATTTGAACTAGAAAAGAAGGTGTTAGGCTGGCAAAACATCTGAAACTTTAAAACTCATTTAGGATTGAAGGCTATACAGGCCTTACGGGCAGACAAAAGGAATTATTATTATATTCCATAGATTCAATTTTTCATGATTTGCTGGAAGACCAGAAGGCCACTGCAGTTCAGTAACACACATCAGTCACACTTATACATGAGTGGATGTCGTTCATTAAATCAAGAGCAAAGTTCTAATCGAGATAGATAGATTGATTAAGAGAAGAGCAGCCAAATAAAGTGCTTTTTGCTCTTGTGTTTTAATCAGCTGATGTTCTGGTGTTGAGTAATGTCTGGCGTCGGTTCTGCTGGTTCTGTTCACCTGCATCAGTGGTGAGGGCCGTGGCGCAGCAGCAGTGCAGCAAAGGTCTGCTCCTGATGTTCGTGTTCAAGAGCGCGACGTTTTGAGTGCGAGAATAAAATACGGGAGACGAACATACAGCAGAAACCAGTCAACCCGACGAGAACAGAGTAAATCATGTTGATGGTGAAACAGTTCGAGGGAGTCTACGGGTCTAAAGTTTAAAGGTTCGAGTGACCAATCTGTGTTAAAAGCATGACTGACAGCTGCCGCCGCCTCCAGCGCGCGATCGATCAGAGTTACGGTTCTCTACCTGCAATCATGTGGAGGGGTCTCTCCTCAACCACCACCAGTGTGCAGCATCCACAGGACAACAGCGCCAGTGCGCTCGCCACACACCAGCTACAGGTGGAGAGGAGAGAGAGTCATAGAGCCAATCAAGTGGTTGGGGATTATTAGGAGGCCATGATTGACAAAGACCAGAGGGGCAATTTGGCCAGGACACCGGGGTTACACCCCTACTCTTTACCAGAAGTGCCATGGGATTTTTAATGACCACAGAGAGTCAGGACCTCGGTTTAATGTCTCATCCAAAGCACGGTGCTTTTTGACAGTATAGTGTCCCCATCACTATAATGGGGCGTAAGGACCCACACAGACCACAGGGTGAGCACCCCCTGCTGGCCTCACTAACACCTCTTCCAGCAACAACCTAGTTTTCCCAGGAGGTCTCCCATCCGAGTACTGACCAGCTCAGCCCTGCTTAGCTTCAGTGGACAGCCAGTCTTGGGCTGCAGGGTGATATGACTGTGGCAGAGGAGTGAGGAGGAGAGGGAGGAGGAGAGGAAGGAGGAGGTGAGGGAGGAGGAGAGGAAGGAGGAGGAGGTGAGGAAGGAAGGAGGAGAGGAGTGAGGAGGTGAGGAAGGAGGAGGAGGAGAGGAGTGAGGAGGTGAAGAAGGAGGAGAGGAAGGAAAAGTGAGGAGGTGAGGAGGGAGGAGGAGAGGAGTGAGGAGGTGAGGAAGGAGGAGAGGAGTGAGGAGGGGTGGAAGGAAAAGTGAGGAGGTGAGGGAGGAGGTGCGGGAGGAGGAGGTGAGGAAGGAGGAGAGGAAGGAAAAGTGAGGAGGTGAGGAGGGAGGAGGAGAGGAAGGGGAGGAGAGAAGTGAGGAGGTGGAGAGGAGGGAGGAGGTGAGGAAGAAGGAGAGGAGTGAGGAGGGGAGGGAGGAGGGGGGG